CACGGCTGCCTGCAGACGGCGGCAGCGCCCCCTCCTGGTGCCCTCGGGCGGTCACAGCACAGCGGAGCACCAAAGCCAGCTGCCCTGCTTGCGAGGCGCTGCACCCACCTGGGCCTGGAGCTTTCAGAAACCGTGTGGAGACTCCCAGCCATGGGGTCCAGTGTGTACCCCCAAGCCAAGACGCAGCACAGCGTACCGACCATGAGGTATATTTTAAAGCAGGCTGTGCATGGGGACGGGAAGCTCTGCCAGCCTGGGGCCGCCGATGCCGACCCAGATAAACTCTCCTCTCAGTCCTAAGCAGGACCCAGCCAGGCCCAGGGCAGGCCGGCAGGAACGATAACATACTGGCCACGCAGCCGCGTGCGTTATTAGAAAACGGTCCGCTTCTGCCATGTTTGTGCCTTCTCCCTGGTTTTCCACCCTTTTTCTTTTTCTTATTGGTGCTTATTACCTTTGACTGAATTTTTACACCTCCCATCTCCATCTCCCAGTAAGCTCTTTGTCTACCCACAGGAACACCCACATTTTTTTCCCCCTGTGTGACGGCTCCTCGGCTGCTTGCTCCACCCTCAGGGATCACTCCTGCTCTCTCTTCTCCCAACTGCTTCCACTGATGTTCTTCTGCGGGCTCCCCCTGGAGTATTCACCTCCCGTCAGCTCTCTACCCTTATCTCCACTCTCTTTTTGGCACCCTGTTCTTTTCTCTTGCATTTTCCTCTCCTCCTTTCCGTGTTTCATCTTCTACCTTTCCCTGGCAGGTCCATGCAGAAAAAGGTTGGAAATGAAAATAGAGCTGTCACACCAGTGAAATTCGTGGCATGCTTTTAAAAAAATATTGTTTACCTGGGACACATCCAGCCCCCAAAGGGCAGCGGGACAAAAATGACCTGGAGATGTGGAATCTGTGTGTATAAACTATAATTTGTTAGATTCTGAAGTATGCACTGTTACCTGAATGGCATATGTGGGCACTGAGGGTCCACAGACACTGAGATTCTCAAATGCACACGCTGTACCCATATTTCTCATCATTGACACAAGTGTAGACATGGCAATGAATAAATGAATGAATGGATGAGACTCGGCTGAGCCCTGAGGCTGAAGAACCAGGTATGCATGAGGTCTTGGGACCTGCTAGGTGTTGAATGCTCCCAGGGCTTTGCCCTCCGCGTGCATGCACATTATGTGAAGGCTCCTGGAATGCCACGCCAAACAGCCGTTTGCTAAGACTTACCTCAGTTAGACACAGCCTCCTCGGAAGGCCATAACATTGACTGATCACCCCAGGGAATTTCCAGACCACTGCAGCCAACCCCATACCAGTTCTAACTTCCAGTTATACTATATTCAACGAAAGGAATGCTCTCTAAGGTTTTGGAACTGGTCTGTCCCCAAAGGGATTTAACAAATCCTGGTACCTTCAGGAATTAACAAAGTGGATCAGGACAGACCGTGTCTGCCAGAGGACATCTCAGAGGGCCCAGGCATTCCATCATTGCCAGGCTTGGCGTACGCAGCACCGTATTAAGGCATAGTATTAAGACACATAGCTGCCCGCAAAAAGAGGTTAACGACCCTCTGATTTGCCAAAACTGAAATTGGCTTTGGACTGGGTTATTCTGGTGTCAGGACAAGCACAACGTAGCTGATGCTTCTGTGCCCCTGCTGACCATTCAAAGGCAACTCAAAAAAGAGTTTTTGGATTTTATGCTAATAATTTCATTTCTAAATGGTTATTATTTTATGGTAGGATTTAATGAGAAAACTTAAGCCCAAAGTAATATTTTCCAGACAAAACAAGTTAGTCTATAAACATAATATACTCTACTGTATAATACCATTCTTTTGAAAAAATCAGTGGTAAAATAAATTCTGACTTTTATGTCAGTTATGCATATAAAATGTGGGCAGATTTATTCTGTATCAAAAAATGACCACATATGGCAAATTTTCAAGTGTTTTCCTACTGCATGTATCTTGGGATGAAATCATGAGAACAATTTTTCTGACTTTCCTGATACATTTTCCCCTGCGAGGACTGCCTACGTGAGCTCTCGATCAAGGAGGAAACATGCTTATTTCTTCGAAAGTGAAAAGTGTAAAATACTTACAAAATGGAGGGCAATGTTTATAATAAGGGTTTTTAAGAAACTCCTAACAGACAAAAACTAAAGAGCTGTTAGTTTGCTAGAATGCTGTCCTGGGAGCAACCAGTTATGCCCCAGAAAGGGTGGTGGTTGTGCTTCAGTTATTCATGCAAATTCTTAAAAGAAGAAGGAAACAGACATCACACAAACTGATATTCGCAGTGAGATGGGGGAATAAAAGTATAGAACAAAGCATGCACAAGTTAAGCACCTTGATGCTAAACTGCCACTGTCAGCTGACGAAGAGGACATATCCAAGCTGAGCATTTTACGGAGCCTAGGTCGAGCACGCTCACTTGTTTTAGGAACAGTTTCTGGTCCATCTAAATCATCAAGGGTAGACTGCCTTGAGAACAGCATGGTTGCTTCAGTGTAGCAGCTAGCAGCGCAAACAGTTACAGAGACACAGTGTTAGCACCAGTGGTAAATCACTTTACACGTGGGTCAGTTGAACAACACACCGCCATGCAGCGAACCACACACAACACCAACACCGCGGCAATGACGACCACCGCAGCAGGCTCGGGGCAGGGAAGGACCTGTGCGGCGGGACAATAAAACACAATAGTGCTGGATTTGACACAGTATATTGGCTAGTGATAAATTACAAAATGTCACTCTCTGGGTGGGATACGGAAACAGAGTAATTTTAAGTCCCGAAACTCCTCTCGCAGAGAATTCATTCTCATTAAAACTTTGCAACCGAGGTTTTGTTTATTGAGAAATATACACTTTATTTGGAGCTCCTTGAGTTTGTTGAGAGCGTTTTGTGACCAAATTGCTTAAGCAGAAATATCTGCTCATAAAACATAAAAGATTTCAATTTTTTTAAACACAGTCTCCACAATGAGAGAGGGAAGCTCAGGGATGACCACAACAAACTGAATATTCCACCCCATTTTCCGAGTGATATTCAGTGAAGCCAAACGAGATGCCTTGCATGTGGAAGAGATGCTGGTTGATATGCAACTGGATATAAACCAACATCAAAAAAAAAAAAAGAAAAAAAAATAGTACAAAGAAAACAACAAAGGAGGTGTAGCAATGGCAGGGTCATTTTGTCTGTTAACTTTTCATTTTGCCTAATGAGCTTTTTCTTGCAGGTCATGTTTTAGATCTTGATGGATATCATTGGGTAAGAACCCACTGGCTAAAATCCTCAGCTCCTGTTCCCCAATGAGGCAACACCTGGGGAGGGAATGAGGGCAGATTCAGGACTGAGATGCTACTGGGTGAAGCTACTGAAGGGGAAGACGCAACAGAGTTATGACACAGACATGACTTCAGTTCAGACACATGGCTTGGCCCCAAAGAGCCTATGAGGGCGACTCCTGGGATATGGATCTTCCAGCCTGAGCGCTAAGGGCTCGGCTGACCCAGGAGAGCGGGCCTCTGTGACACAGGATGGTTGATTCCACAGCTGACACTATTAAGCTGAACATCTGTCTTTATCAAGTGACCTCACTAGGAGGCCTATTCTATGTCCAACCAGCACGGCCAGATGCCCTCAGGCAGTGACTGTGAGGCAGAAACGGGCACCATTCAGCATGTAACAACCTCTGGGGCTGGGGAGCAGGGAATTCGAGTCACTCACTCATGGGGCCAGTTAAAGGGCTTTTCCGGTTCCAGGTGCTTAGCACAACCCCACCGGTGCTCCAGTGGGGTCATCCTGCTGTGGTGTCACAGCTACATGGCCAAGAGACGGGCAAGCCAATGAGAGGTGAGCATGTAAGCAATCGGATGGTCTCTAATAAGGACACAGAGGCTGACTTTTAAAAAGAAGACCTTAACTCCTTTAGATGTCACCATGTCCTGAACAAAATGAGGAGATGGCAACAAGGTAAACTAGAAATGCACGGACAGACACGGGGAGGGCTGGGCTTGAGTCTCCACATGGACATTAACTGGCTGCTGGGTGTTAGGTAAGTCAGTTCCCCTCTGTGGGGTCCCAATTTCATTATTTATGAGATGAGGGAACTGGATCTTTGAATTTCTGTATTTCTTTTCATATTTTTAGAGGTGCAACCCCATGGCCTTTTTGGAGTTTGCAGGCAGAAAGACATGGGG